AAGCAACCACTTAGCCTACTCAAACAATGCACCAACATCATTCTTTCTATCCGTTTCTTAAGTGTGTACATGTGAAAAATGTCAGCTATAACTGGTGGCTTGCCGAACCTGGCTCTAAATGTGTCTCACTTCATTACATGCTTCTTACTCTGAGAAAAAAACAAAGAAAACATGTTTTTCAATGCCATATCACTATTATCGTATGTTTATATATATATATATATATATATATATATATATATATATATATATATATTTATTTATTTATTTATTTGCAAAAAAAAAACTTAACCAAATTAAAATAAATAAACAAGTTATATGTAGTTTGATCAGTGTTTTATTTGGTACTCTCTGGTTCCCCTTTCAAGTCTTTCTGTACGGACAGGAGATAATAAATATATATATATTTTTTTAAGTTTTTCACTCAAAATAAATCTTCAAAATCGATCAAGTAAGCAATGTAACTGGCAATTCTTATTTGTGTTCTAAGATTGACGATTGATTTGATTACTTTAAACATTGTTTAAACCTTTCACCAGTATGGACAGCAAAATAAATCTTGGGTATTTGACAATTATACTTTTCCCATATTGGCTACCTCGTTTCACTGTGGAATATCTGCTAATTCTGATCATCTAACATTCTTGCTTTTAATTTGCTGCTTTTATGCAACCCTTGGCAGTTTACATTCGCTGAGCTCTTTACAGCACAATGCACAGAGTGATTTAAAGCAGGGAATTAAATCTCTGGTGATTAGAGCTGGACATGTTGAGTTAGCAAGGAGTGAGAGGCTAGGAGAGTATGGGCCATCTAATGGGTGAAGGAACAGAAAGCAAGGCAATAGAGGGACTATAGGCCCTGCAAAAATGACTGTTCATACTGCACAGCAGATCGTTATCAGCTAGTGTCTAAATAGCCATGGAATGTAGAGGAAACAAGACACTTTTTAGAGCTGACACATATAATTAATAAGTGTTAAGACATGTCGTAAACACTAACAATTTTAAGTATGTATATGTTTTTCTTTCTCCCATAGTCTATCCCCTGGAAGTGGCTGTTTGGTGCTACAGCTATAGCAATAGGAGGAGTGGCCCTTTCTGTAGTAATCGCTGCCCGCAATTAAGCCACCAACAGATTGATTGGGATAGTGAGGACCGAAGCCATTACATTCACTAAGAAGATCGATCATCAACGTACATTCTCTATTGTTTAACCAAAAGAAACCTGAAGGTGTCATGTGCAATCTCAAGGGGGGTGGGGGGGGGGAGAGTATATTTGTTTAATTTACATTCTTTTTCTTTGTCTTTTTTTCCCCTCAACAATGGCACCTATAATATGTGAAAATCTGCACCTTTCCTAAAGAGACCTCGTGACATAAATATAGGATGGGACCTTTACAATGTCATTGAAACTCTGTAGTATTTATTCTAATTATTGAAAAAGTAAAACAGCTAGTGTTTTTTTTTTTTTTTTTTTTTTTTCAGTCATTCGCAAATATAAAACAAAGTGATCCATTTTATGTTTAGTAAAATTTGTGTCCAATTTTATTCCAAGGCCAAAGAACCCACAAAAAAAATACTTTCCTTCTCTTGCTGTGAGACTAGTTTTCACTGCTTTTCCAAGAACAGCTCGAGTTGCTCTGCAAGATAGCAATTATAAATAGTATTTTATCATGGGAGAAGATGCACTATTGGTGAAAGAACGCTTTTTTGGTTCATATAACAATGAATGGTCTGTTTGTAATGAGTTTTAAGTCTCTCCAAGTTCAGTACATAAGCTCCATAGGCAAAATGGGGAAGGGGAAAATTGTAATATTGTTTTCTGTGGTTTTCCTAAAAGCTGCCAGGCCAGTTGGGACCTTTACAGTAAGATTAAGTAATTATGTATAAATGACCGGTTTTGGAAGTAGATCCTGAATCCACAAATAGGGTTTTTGTTTGGGCTTGTTGATTTGTGTATGTATATTGACCATTTGTTGTACATCCACTGTTTGTTAATCACATTCATCAATGTCCTATGACATTCTTTCACTTCTAATGGAAGCAACAAAGCAGTTACGACTGGACCACATTTTTTGACATTTGCATTTTTTTGACAATTCTAATGCTGTGACTTCCCACTTAACTGGAACACTTCCCATTGGTTAAAACCTGGAGATTTTGAAAGTGGACTCTCCAGCCTGTTTTACTTGCACTTAATAAGTTAAATAATTTAATTTAGGCTACCTACATTTGCTTTATATAAACATGCAACCTTTTCTGCAGGGGTTTCCCTGTATGATTCCTATGTGGCTTCCTTCCATTATTAAACATGCCTTACATTATGCGTATCGACATCGAGAAAGCCCAGTAAATTTACTTCTGTAAAAAGAGCCAAATGGACACTGATATACATAGTACCTGGATGTTCATTTATCAAAACCTCAAATGGACCATCTCTTAATTGAGAAATCCAAGAAATCTTAATAACGCACATTCCTCTCTACAATCCTAATATTCTCCTTACCCTCCAAAGTTTAACATAATGGAGAGAAATATCTTAGTCTGCACCTACCTAATTTTACTGCATTTAATTCCCTGTACAACTCTAAGTTATACAAAATATAATGTACATCATTGTTTGTACACAACCTTAAATCCTGCCTCACTAGTAGTTTATGTATTTTTCTTTTTTTCAGTAATTTGTTCTTCTAAAAGGTTGGATAGTAATGTTTGCAGAAAGGTATATATATTTTACAAATAATTTAGTCTTCACATTTCAGTCATTCATTGTGTGTAATATATAAATATATATGTATCCCCACCAAACTGTGATCTTTGTTCACTTCGCTACTGGTGTACAGTTGGGTATTACCTTAATTTTGTCCATTAAAGGGTGCTTGAGATTTGGGGGATACCCTAGGTTTAGCTTCCTAAAATGATCTGGTACCAATTTTAGATATCAATATATATATTATAAAGAAAATTGTCTTATTTTACTGAAGAATAAACATAGTTACATTGATTAATTTACTAATAAGATGTGTGTTTTTATTTTTGTATATATGCATATATATATATATATATTTTTTTTTTTTCATCTAGAGTTTATTGCATTTATATGATAAGCGAAACAATGTTAATGAGTACCCCCAATGGGTGGCTTCATTTGCTTTGTAGTAGTAAGCCTAAATACCGGAGGGGAAAAATACAATCCAAACCCATGGGCTGGATCAAAGGTGTATTTGAACTACTTTTAGGCGTGTATGCTTATTGCATTGTAATCACTTCTTTTACACCAAGTATGTAGATGCTTCCATATTTCATGTACTGATCTTACTAGGTAATCTAAAGGGACACAACGGTGCCATAAAATATGCAAAGATATAATGTAACAATTAATACCTTGCATAGAAGCTCCACCCAACAGTCCACTCATCTATGGAGTGTGATCTTATCCCATTAAGCCCTGCCAATGTATCCACTTATCTAATTTTTCTCTATTTAGAAATCTAGAGGCAACTGAGGAGTCTTGCATTTTTGTCTTGTTTGAGGAGTTATCATTGTTCCATAGAATGAAGTCCCAGTTAGAGCTCGAAGTGGAAGAAAATTTAAACTTGATCAAATAGCATTTTACAAAGTGATGGAAGCAAGACAAGATTCCGGGCAGCCATTCAGCACAACATCTAAGCCACATTCACTTTATTTTTTCACATTTCAGTTTTTTGTTTTTTTTTGTAGACTATTATAACCTATGTCTTTTAAACTGTTCATAGGTCCTTAGTTTAGATTTCAGTTTCCTATTTGATTGATTCCCCTCACTATCTTTGCATAATTAAATACAAACTGAACAACTTAGGCATTAATAACTGATCTGGAAAAATTAACCTTCGGTTATACTCATAGCTGGCTATTTCAACCTTAATTTTACAATCCAGATTTAATTTGCTTCAATGCTGAGTGAATCAAGAAACATTTTTTCTCTGCTGAACCTCATTCTCTCTCTATATAAGAAAGTATGCTTGGTTCTACGAAATGCGTTTGGTTTTTTTGTCCACCGCAAGCTCACTGGGATGCATCCCGGTGTGTGAGCGACTTATCCTTGGACACACGCTACAAATCCTTCCAGTTTTGGAGTTTCATTGATAGAGACAGACACAGAGCCAGTCCCTGTCCAGATTCCTCAGGAAGGACAAAAGTGGACACTGTTTCAACTGCAATTCTTGTCAGAAATTGTACTCCTGACATATGTGTCTTTATAGAATATGTAAGTCAAGCATGTCAAACTCGTGGCCCAGCGAGCCATGAGTGCATGCTTAGTGTTAAAGCAGAGTAGGCACCTGCTTTCTCCACATTGCAGGTGCATACTCTGCTAAAAGTTACCCGGCCGGGGAGTAGAGATTCCTGGCGGCAGCGTCTGTAGTGATGCTGGGCGCAGGAATATGACGTCATATTCCGGCACCCGGCATCACTAAACTGCGTGCAAGGGAACAGTGGAGAGCAGAAAGGAGATTTCCAGATAGAAGAGGGCCCACATCAGCTCCCAAAGGTCTGTCTGTGTGTGTGTTGGTCAGTGTTGCATTGGCTATGACTGGACAGTGGAGTACCTGGAGGTGCATGGAGGCACGCAACGCCACACCACATTCCGACGTGACATCGACGTGCTCCACCTTCTCAGGGTTTCAAGAAGTAGCAGGAGGATCAGATTTTGCAGATTTGGCACAGGGTAGGACGGCACCATTTGGGGTATACCAGAGGCCGAACTCTGGAGTTGTATACTGGCAGCGGCAATGTGAGTGGAGTCTGCTTGTGGGCTAGAGGGGTTACTGGGATTTAGTATATGGTGGGGACTGGGATTTAGTAGAAGGGGGTGCTGTGGTTTAGTGCAGGGGGATGCGTTTTTTTTTTTTTTGTGTGTGTTTTTTTTTGTTTTATCCTGTACTTTTCAAAATAATTTTTTGGGTGGTCCACATAAACTTAAACCTGGTTTATGTGGCCCATGCTAGACTTTGAGTTTGCCATGCTTAATGTAAGTGGTTTTCATCGTGTGGGAATAAAACTTAGTGGTATAGTGAGCTGTATGGTGTTCTGATCTTATTTCCACAGAATCAACACATTTCCATTACAATTGCCTATGGACATTCAAAATGAATGTGTTCATTGAATATATAATTTTACATTATATGAATTTTTAACAGATGGCATTTTCTGGCTTTTGGGTGCTTTGGTAGACCAGTCTGTATGGATATATATGTGCTCTGTATCTGTAACTTTGATATCCTATATTGATTGAGAGCCTTATGTATTTGCTTGTTTAGCCATTGTTGCCTTAGATATTTGTGGTTTCATTTTGATATTAAATAATGTTGTTTTATTTTTTTGTTTTATGGTTTTCATTTTATTTTTAACAATCAGTGGATTTGCCACTTTTTTCAGTGTTTCTAGTGGGTCGTGACTTTATCCAGAAACACGATTTAGTTGATTTACCCTAGTTTTAAACAGGGTATCTACTTTGTTATTTGTGCTTGTATACTAATATCCTGCTGGAATTCTGCAAGGAAAGGTTATTACATAATCTCTAAAATGTAATCCCCTATTTAAAAAATAAAATAATGAATGAACAATCAAAATGTTCTTACTTGCTAGTTTTTCACCTTTCTTCCCAAATTGGACCGGCCCATGCAGACCATGAAATACCACGTGTGACAAAATGCCTTTTGTCACAGGGGTTTCATGTGACAAACTGCCCTTCCCCCCATGTTTTATGGAGAAGCTGGATTGCTAGCCTCTTACCCTGGGATGCTGGCCCGTTAAGTTATTGGGTCTTAAGGCAGTTGGGACAGAGCCCTCTGTCCCTGGATTGCATCGGTTGCCTTACTTGCTTGAATTTTACATTTGCCCTGATACATTCGTATGTTGGTTCGTGCCGTTTAACTTCCCTTACAGCTGGATTAAGGCTGTTCGTACAGACGAACAAACTGCCGAACGGCCGACCACCCGGTCTGTGGCGTGTGCTGCTTGTTAGCCACCCAGAAGCTGCGGTTAACCGCAGCTTAATTGTCGAATGCCTGGATGGCCGGTGTTCGTCTGCCGAACACGTGGCGGTCGCCATTTTAAATTGTCGAAAGCCCAGCAGTAAATGGCGGCGATGCCCTGGAACTCTTTTCGGACACTTATTCCGCCGAACACCGCTGGTGCTTACCAAGGTCCTCGTTCATACGGCTGGAAACACACGAATGCCGGAGACATTCCACCGTTCGGGACTTGGATTTATGCTAAAAAGAGACCGACCCCAGATAGCTACAGTGTGGAACTCTTTGTCGGATACAAACACGCGAACGGCCGGCGAAAGCCAAACTTCAGTCGATGTTTCCAAGAACTGTGTTCGTGGGATCTGAGCGCTATTCGCCTAGAATATGCACTCAGATCCAAGCTACCTGTGGATATGTGGGACTTAAAGTTTATGTTCTGTAAAATATAAGTTATAGATTTTTATGCTGTTTTGCTAAAATAAGAAAAGCCATGTTTCTTTCTACCTGGAGATAATTAAGGCTCTTTTTACTCACTTAAGTGAATTATCTCCAGGATGGAAAAGAGGGAGTCATTTATGTAAAAGGGGAGTGCTTATGTTATAGCCACTGTGATTGGCTACTGTAATGCTTTTGTCCCAGTCTTCCATCTGGTCCCCTAGGGGAGTGTCCACCAGGTGGGAGACCTGCATAAATACCGGGCAGGTAGCCCACAGTAAATCAGATCGTTTTACCCCTTCATGAAGTCTTGACTCATGTTTGGGGGATTGGGAGTTATAATCACTTAGTTTCATCTGGATTTCGGGAGAAGCTGCAAGGATCATCGCTGCACGAATAGAAGGATCCTTTACACCACGTATTTGTAATTCCTTTTTTTTCTCTAAATAGCTCACCTGCCCTTGCTCCTATTTTCCAGTATTCTAGTTTTACTCTTGGTCTACTGACCAGAAGTAGTCAAGGTATTTTTAACTGCAATGGGTTTAATGGACACTGTCAGCCCCCTTGTACTTACCCTGGCGGTCCACCATCTGGCGGACCTTTGCTCCCACGCAGCATGAGGCTCTAGTCAGCCTCATAGACCCATTTTATGACGTGGTGAACGTGTGCCGGCGTCATAATGTCAGAGGAGCTCTAATCAATACAGCTCAGCACACCTTTTGGGGGTTTAGTTATGCTAACCATGCCCCCCAACCATATAAAATCTCAGTCTGCCCAAGGCGCAGTGCCATGTTGTGGTTCCTAGTGTCCCAATAGAGCGTTCTTTATCTGTTTTTTATATTTTGGTATTGACCTGGCTTGCTTTTGACTAGTGTGGCTTCCCTGACTTCTAGCTTTGTCTCTCATATTTGTGCTTTTTTTGGCTTCCCTTGACCTTCCAATTCTTTTGATCTGGACTCCACAGATGAACTTCCAGAGTTAGTGTAGTCACATGGGTATTATGTTCTTGTATGGGTTTAGTACTTATTTCTCCCCTCCCCTATTTTTTTCTCTTTGTTGTTCCTCCTATTATATTGCAGGCTTCTGTTAGCCTTTCTGTTAAAATATTGGCTTCTAAACATCCATCTGTAAATACCCCTTGTAAACATATAAATGCTATTTTAAAATATAACATGCTTGCTAATGAAGAGATTCATTAGTTTGTACTTAAAGAACCACTCTAGGCACCCAGACCACTTCAGCTTAATGAAGTGGTCTGTGTGCCAGGTCCTTCTAGGGTTAACCCATTCTTTTATAAACATAGCAGTTTCAGAGAAACTGCTATGTTTATGAATGGGTTAAGTCTTCCCCCAAATCCTCTAGTGGCTGTCTCATTGACAGCCACTAGAGGCGCTTGCATGCTTCTCACTGTGATTTTCACAGTGAGAGCACGCAAGCGTCCATAGGAAAGCATTTACATTTGCTTTCCTATGTGACCGGCTGAATGCGCGCACATTCAGCCGACGGGGAGAAACAGAGGAGGAGAGCTCTCCGCCCAGCGCTGGAAAAAGGTAAGTTTTTACCCCTTTCACCCTTCCAGAGCCGGGCGGGAGGGGGTCCCTGAGGTTGGGGGCAACCTCAGGGCACTATAGTGCCAGGAAAATGAGTATGTTTTCCTGGCACTATAGTGGTCCTTTAATACTTGATCACGTTTCTTCAAGCCCACATATTTTCTCCTAAAACACTTTATCACCACGACAGACCCCGTTTACCCCTTTGCCATTAAATGAGTTCAGAAACTAATGTATATTCATTTTCAAAGCTACTTTTGCATATATATTTTATTGTGTGATCTGTAAACCTTGCGTTCCACCAGATGAGGCAGAAATTAATTGTCCAAGTTAGTTTCAGCTGGTGTGTATGTGTGAGTCTCCCCTGTGGTACAACTATGAAAGATTGGGATGCTGCCAACATCAGTCATAATTATCAGAGTATGAAATCTTTCAGCCAAAAGGAAAATAAAGTATTGCAGGCAGGCAAAATGCCATTGAAACAGATGGTGAAACAATATATTCATCATGGAAATTCAGAGTAAAATTTATTAATTTATTTATTTTTTCTTGTCTTAATACACCTTATCAGAAAGTGTTAAACATTTTTTCTTTGTGTTCTTTCCTTACACTTTGAAATGGGAAAATCTGTTAAAGTGGTACTTCAGCAATAGTACGACAAAAGGGACTGACTACACTGAAATTTCTTTACACAAACAAAATACAAGTACAGGAGGTGTGACAATTCTACCATCGAGGATCTCTTAAAGAACAGCGTAAAAATGTATTTTTCGATAATTATATTATTTTTATATGTACTGCAGTGTGTTTTGTAAGCTATTGCACCTCCAGAAGAAAAGCCTTCAATTGTTTAAGCAATGATCATGGTGTACATGTAATTAATGTTTTGTGCTTTACAAACTCCCATAAAGATTAAGTGATGTTCAGATCGTTGAGTTGGCGAGGCCCATACTTATTTTCATGGAACGACTCTTTAGTTTGTTTAGAAGTCTTTGACTTGGCATTATTATCATGGGAAATAGAGCCAGTATTTAGAACAATCTTTGAAGTCATAGGGTATACTCGATCTTGTAAGATAACGTCATATTACAAGGACATCCTATGACAATATAGTCAAATCACCAGACCACAATGATAACCATTATGTGGCTACCAATATAATTACCGACCCTCTACCATATTTAACCAGAATTTAAAAAAAATAAATCTCAAAGTACGAGGTAACCTTTAAATGAACTGAAAATGGAAGAGGACCAGTTCCAGCCCATGGCAATGTTGTAAGTAGCAAGTAAAATCTCAAAGGCAGAAAAGCGCTACATTTATAATGATGATTGACATTGTGTGGATTTCTACATTGAATTCTATTTTCAAGAGGTCCCTGATCAGCCACAATATTAAATCCACTGCCAGGTGAAGTTAATAACATTGATTACTGTGGCACCTGTCAAGGGATAAGCTATAATAGGCGGCAAGTGAACGGTCCGTTCTTCAATTTCATGTGTTGGAAGTTGAAAAAAATGGGCAAGCAAAAACATCTGCGTTACTTGGATCAGATTGATCCAAGGATAAATATGACTGCCATTCTGGGGTTAAGAAGGATTTTTATTCCTAGTGTGTTGCAAAATTGGAAGTGCTTCAAACTTTTTTTTGCCTTTCTTTGGATCAACAGCAAAAAACAGATGCGAGGAAGGCTGAACTTGATGGACATGTGTCTCTTTTCAGCCTATGTAACTATGACTTTGATATGGGCTAAAAAGTAAACCAGCATCCGGGTCATGAGCGATCAAGGCTCATTGATGCACATTTATGTTCTCATGAAGCACTGGTTTCAATGCTTCCAATTAGTACACATTTGCCTTCTGTTCCTGATGCTTCTCCATGAGAGAATTTGATTGTACCAAGGATTTGTGACTTTTCTATTTTAAAAAGAGCCAACAAGTATCTTCTTGTGAGGCACATGTTGAGAAACTGAACAATCTTATGGACCAGTTTGCACAGGCTTTACAGACATTATTAACTGCATATTTGCAGCCTGAAACTCAGATTATGTTCCGCACTTCATCATCAGTAGAGGCCAAAGGAGGGGCTGTAGGAGGCCCACCCTCTGTCTAGCCTAACTTCACCAACTATATACAGAGGAGAAACTATGGTTATGGGTGATTTGTCAACCAAGTTCTTATCCATGTTTAGTTATCCCCTTGTTCATACCCTACTGATGGAGCTAAGGTGGGCTATGTATCTACCATATCACTGATAAAGTATTTACTTGTGCTAATCTCCTTTTGAAGGAAATAAACCAGTAATTTATAACTACACTGAGTGTGTGTTTGATCCTCCTGGTATGAAAACCAATTGAGGCAGAGCCCTCCGTAAACTCGGACAGGGATTGCAATCTCTAGAAGAGTATGCATTGGAGTTCTATTCACTTGCTCCAGCAATTAGGTGGAACAATGAAGCCTTGTCGGGTGTTTTCATGTAAAGCTTGTAATTAGTTATCCAAGATGAGGTAGCTGCTAGGGATCTCCCTAAGGATCTAAAAGACCTCCTGTAACAGAACTGTTATGTTTATATTGTGGTAAAAGTGTTGTTTACACCTTTCCTGCCCTAAGAGGCTGAAAAACACCTAATGGAGGATGGGACTTGGGTGTTGTGACTATTACATAGTTGCATAGGCTGGAAATAGACTTGCGTCCTTTAAGCAATGCCTTTTTCACATCTGTTTTTGCTATTGATCGAAAAGATGGCAAAAACCTAGTTTGAAGCGCTTTCTAATTTTACAACAAAGCAGAATCATTAACAGGAATTGCCCACTATAAGTAAAATAGAAAACTGAAACCCAATAGAAAGATAGGATGCTTACTCAATGCCTCTATTGCCAAATTGCCAGAGTCTGTAAATACAATCTGTAGAGAATGAATAAGGAGCACACCCCATAAAAAGTAACCTTTTTTTTTTTTTTTTAAATATAAATCTATATCCATACAGTAATGTACACATATTTGCATGTTGCCAACTGGATAAATAGAGTAACATACTATACATACATTTAAAGCCATAAACTACATGCAATAAACACAAAACATATCCAAAGAAAGAAGCACAAAACCAATAAAAAAGAATCATGAAAATAAATAGAATAATACATGTGTTCAGAAACAGGAAATTAAATGGGCAATTTCAAAATTAAAATTGGGCTCAGCCCCTGGTCCCGATGGGCTAATCAATATTACTCACTTGTCAAGAGGAGATTTCTAGTTACCTGTGCCAAACATTAAATGAAATTAAAAATGCTGGCTGAGCTCATCCAGAGTTGTTGGAAGCACAAATAATCACAATCCCCAAAACAAATAAATTAACCCTTGAATGCAGTGACTTTAGACCTATATCTCTGCTTAACGTGGATATAAAGATTTATGCTAAAATTTTAGCGGAAAGATTGAATCAATATATCCATAAGTTGATCAATTCTGATCAAACAGGTTTTATTCAGGGGAGGTTGGATTTCGATAATATCAGAAAACTGTTAAGTATAACTTCAGTGGTTAAATATAAAAAAAATAGCTGCAGTTTTTGTGGAACTTGATGCTGAGAAAGCATTTGACAGGGTGGATTGGGACTTTATGTTCCTCACCCTGTCAAAATATTAGGTGATTTTTGCCTCTAAGGCGATTGCCACTTTTTATACATCTCCGAGCGCTAGTGTAATCGGCCAAAATTTTCGGTCAGGAAGGTGTCCTTTTAAATGGCACTAGGCAAGGTTGCCCTTTATCCCCATTATTTTTTGCTTTAATTATTGAACCACTGGCGACAGCGATAAGGGAATCTTTAGATATAACAGGAATTGAAGTAAATCAAAAGTCACATGTAATCTCCCTATATGCGGATGATGTAATAATAACAATAGGTAAACCGGAAAAATCTTTAAAAGCTCTTCAAGATATTATAACAGAGTATAGTGAAATATCCAATTATAAATTAAATGTAAAGAAATTGGAAGCCGTCACTTTTAATATGGGACAGTCTGAGAAAAACTTAAGTCAATTTTATCCATTCAATTGGCAACCCTCAATAACCCATTTACGAATAAAATAGTTTGCCGAAATGAAAAGAACAATGACAGTTAATTTTCAATCAGTTTATTCTAATATAATGCAAGTTTGGGCCACATGGAAAAATCTTAATATATCTTGGTCAGGTAGAATAGGTTAAGATGACAATATTACCTAAGATTACTTATGTTATGCGCTGCATACCCTGGCAGTGTCCCATATATTTGCTTAATAAATTACAGAGGGCGACTGATGTATTTATCCACCAGAATAAAAGAATGAGAATTAAGATACCAATTATGGTTAAAAAATTCTCTAGTGGAGGGATAGCGTATCACGACATTAAGAAATATCAGGAAGCCTCCCTCCTGGCACATATGCTGAGATGGGAGGAATAGGAAAAAACAATAATTGGGTATCGATAGAAGCTTTTTTTCTTAAACAAATGGACTTGAACTCAATCCTTTTTCGAGATGATTTATCCAGTGGCATATTGGATAGTAAAGCCTCGATTATATGGTACAGTCTTAAAAGCTGGTTGAAGTTGAATCATAAATATTCTCTGGTTCCATTTCCTAGCCCGATCACTCCTATCTCATGGCTGCAGGAATGCCTCTGCTTGAGATATTCTTGAAATTGGGATGCAGACATTAAGTAATTTATATGTGTAGCGGAGGCCTGGTATTCCACAGGTTAACTCCACTAAGATCCCAGTGAGGCTCAGGAACAAGTGAAGAAAAATCCCATAAAGTTATAATTCCAGCAAGCAAGGTAATCCAAGAATATCCCCATACAGATCCCAATGACTGGACGACACACAGCATCAGGAGCAGAACTGACGTTTATTCCACACAACCTCCTTTTAAGCATTTCTCCCATGCAAGGGACGGATTCACATTCATCAAGACAGTACCCAATGGAATAGCAGTTACCTCCCACACATCTCCTCCCCTTAGTATGACACCTAATCCCATTATACAGGTTATAGTTTCCCCCAAGATCTGGATGTACCCCAAGATTAGCAGGTACACCAATACTTTGGGTACCCCCTAAAAGCCCTGATCTGGGTGACCAACATATCCAAAATTCACCCAGATCAGGCGTTCGGGAGTTAGGTGGTGGGTGAAATTTGACCGACCGCACACGAGGTGGTATCCGAAAAGGGTTCCATGCGTTTTTTCCCTGCGGTCGGTCTCCGTTCGGGAGGTAAAAGACACATAAAAACCTGCCATCCGAGCAGTGGACGGATAGGCCCATCTCCTGGCTGGGGAGAGTAAACTCTATAAAAATGAACGTGCTGCCGAGGATACTATTCCTCTTTCAAGCACTCCCGATAAGAGTAACACGGAGGGACCTGACGGGAATACAAAGAGCGATCGATGCCTTCATATGGCACAACAAACGCCCAAGAACTGCGCGAGCCCTCATGTACAGACCGAAATCCAGGGGGGGGCTGGGACTACCCAACGTTTACACCTATTATCTTGCCGCACAGCTGACACAGGTGATACAGTGGCACACGCCTCCAGACAGGAGACGATGGGTGGACCTAGAGTCACTGATGACGGGTCAGGATCTCCCACAATTCTCCATATGGGCACCCAAAACACAAAGAGCCATACTAAGAACAGCGAACCCAGCCATACTCAACTCTATACAGATCTGGGACCAAACCAAAATGAAATACGCCCTCAGCTCCCATCCGTCCCCCATGACACCAATCCTTAGGAACAGGGCCTTCCCTCCCGGAATGCAGGCAAGAGACTATAAGGGGATAGAGGCCACGGGACTCCAACGATACGTACACCTATATGTGAACCAAAAAGTAGTCACATACGAACACCTAGCCACCAAAGCTAACTTACGAACAAGAGCCTACTTTAGATACATGCAGATCCGTGACTTTGCACAAAACCCTGACATACGGAAGGCGGCTCTGACACCACTAACCTTTTTCGAGAAACTATGTTACAATGAGACAACCCAAACTAAACTCATTACGCTACTGTACAACCACCTCAACGGGAACTCGAATGAGGAGGGCGCACTGCGATACACCGACCAGTGGGAAGCCGACCTGGGGGAGGTGTTAGAGGGAGCGGAGTGGCAAGATATCTGGGAAGCATGTAGCAAAACCACAATATGTGTGACACTCCAAGAGCAATCTTATAAAACTCTTTTTCGTTGGTACATGACCCCAGTGAAACAGAGACATATGGGACTAAGCCCCACAGATGACTGCTGGCACGGGTGTGGGGAACGGGGCACGTATATACATATGTGGTGGGGCTGCCCAAAGGTCGCAGAATACTGGCGCAACGTTGTGGAGCTCAGCTCCCAAATCCTACAAAGGCGACTGGGGCTAGACCCATGGGCATGCCTACTTTCAAGACCCACAAAAGACCTACCCAGACACGACCAAAGACTACTTAACATGCTCTATTTAGCGGCTCGGAGATCCCTGGCACAACACTGGTCATGTCCAGACCTCCCACATATATCCCTGGTTAAGACAAAAATACGAGACAACTACATTATGGATAAACTGACTTCTCAGGTGCGAAACACAATGGCCAAGTTCCAAAAAGTCTGGGACCTATGGGAGCAGTACGACACCTAGAACACCACCTCGGGACGCAGGGCAGCATCCACGCAACTCTAAATTGGCGGGGCTAGGACCCACCCAGCGCCAACCACCACACCATTACTCGACCAGGCGAAAGAGACACCACTACTAGATGAGCGCGGGGCCAGGCCCAGTACATAAATCACAGCTTAAGGGAGTTGACCACCCCCATCGGTGGTCCATCCGGTAACCATATCAAACTGAAACTGTTTAAACACGCACGTACTTGTCTCCAATTCCTTTACTTTTCCTTTCTATCTATCCCTCGAGGGCAAGCACCTTAGATCAGCAAGATGGCAGGAGGGGAAAGGCAAATAATAATACGCCAACATTTTGCAGAGCGTAGAAGGGAGGGAGAGTGCAATTGCGCACCCCAGGAAGCGGGGGGATTGACACTCTACTCTCTAAGCCTAACTCCTCACAACAAAGCTATTGTATATAGTTAACACCGCTTGCCACTTATACCAAAAATTTAGACGAAGACACCCACAGAAAACTTAATGTATATAATATGCCTAAACTGACAACTGTCAAATGCATGCACTGCGCTAATGTATGACACTGCGCTGTCTTATTCGAAAATGTACATGCTTTCATGTTTATCATCTACTTCGTCAAACCAAAAATAAAGAATTAAAAAAAAAAAAAAAAAAACTGCCATCCACTAATACAGTTACGTTTGCATGACTTCCCTCATTCGGTACTCTAAACTCACCGAACGGGGGGCTGATTAGTCTTCCCGTTCGTGAGTTATGGAGCACTGGAGGTGTCAGCGGTGTTCGGGTAATCGAGTGTCCGATTTGAGTTCCAGACACTCGACGACCAAACACCGCTGAGCCTTTCGTGCGTAAGATGGCCGCCGCCACGT